CCCAAACCCAAAAAAATCCTACCATATGTTGCGGGCGGGGCTAACCCCCCCCGTTGACCCAACATATTGCAAAGACCTATAGCAGACCCAAATCAGACCAGAGTATGTATTTACGTGATATACATTGATATACATGATTTATCATGATTTCGTGTTTGCAATGATGGTTGGTAGATTTGGTTTCCTGTTTTAGAGCAGTTTGTTTGCGGCTGTGCCACACTTCGATGTGTTTGCATCACCACATGGGGCTGGTTCACTATCAGAAAGCTTGTCACTTCTCGCAGCAGGTGCGTTTGGGCAATTTCAGCTTCAATGCACATGACTCGAGGAACATCTCGCAGGATGCCAAGGGTTTGATTCGCCACCCGGCCATCAGCGAGGGGAAGGGGTTCAGGGTCCAGGGTCCAGACCCGAGTCTTAAGTAGTAATGTAGGTAGACTAGTAGACTCTTGATGAATCACCCCCCCCCATTTGGATCAACACCTCTTCATATGATGGGGGGGTTATGCATCAAGAGCCTACATGATTTGACAGATGCAAGTCAGGCGGACATATGTCTGTGTTCAGGACCTTTCCCACGACATGCGTCCTTGCGACGCTGGGTGGTGTTTGCTGCCTGTGTTCTGTGAACCCCCTGGAAGAAGGGAACTATAGGACCAAGAGCCTCATGCGGGACGTCTCCCTATTTTAATCAATGTACTGACACCATCCGAGACGCACCGAATACACACCGTTCTGTGAGATCGATCCGAGATCGATCCGTGAACGTAAACGCTGAGGGTGGTTGCTGAAGATGAATCCCAACGCTCGCTGCACAGCCGAAGAAGCCCTGAACCACACTTGGATCAAACTCAAGGCGTCGCAGAGCGAGCGGCGGGCGGAGTATGTTTTGCAAGATTTGCCCTTCGTTTTGTAGGTGATGCCTGTGGTGTGGCAAGTGATTTTGAGCAGTCTTTCAGTATAGTTTGGTGACCGCGGTTCTTTGCATTCACGTGTGTTCTCTTGACCTCCAGAGGATGCTCTGGAATGGGGGTTGATCGCCCATTCCCCCCCAGTGAGGGTGAGTTGGGTGCGTTGGGTTCAACTACATCTGGGAGCAGGACAGCCCTGGCTTTGAATCCAGAAGTCTGAGTAGAACAATCCGCGGAGTGTGGTTCATCATGTAGGATCCTCACGAACATCTCAAGCGACCTCCCGACCTCAAACGATCCAGGGAGACAAACATGGAGAGGTGATGAGAGGTGCCTGTCCGGCGGATCTTTAAGGAAGGTAAGATATATTCAAGATGAAGCAAGTGTGCCGACTGCCTCAATCCACATTATTTACGGTATGTCCGTACGATTCTAGCCTTGAAGCAACTTTGATAACCACTCCGCAAAAAGATTCGAGGTCAGCCGTCCCAGCCTTGCAGTATAATACTTTGTTGGTTGCAATTGCTCAACATCATGACATATCATGACATCTAATGTGGCTTTTCGTTTTGTTTCATCTTTTGCTTCGAGACATGTTCCCCCAAAACACCCGCAACAAAAGCTAAACCTCGACAAACAAACGACGAAGAAAACATCCCTCCTCGGATTCTGCTGTCTTCCTGCCTCGGATTTGCCCGTCTCTCCGTCCTCGTTCTCCCTTTGCTTTATCGGCCGCTAACCGCTAACCGCGCCGCTAACCGCGCCGCGCAGCCCTTTCACGAGAGCAGCGCGATGGACTTCGGATTGCTGGAGAACCTGCGCCACTTCCGGGCGACGGATCGTCTCACGAAGGCTCCGCGCCGACATACGCAGACGGGCGGACAGGGCCGAGAAGACGAGAAGAAGACGGGCCGTGTAAAAAGACGGTATTCGAAGTGGGGAAAAGGATGGAAAAGGAGGAAGTTGATTGATGAATGTAATGTTGATGATTGGTTTCAGGTGGAGCATGTTGTTACATGTTACAGAACATGTTCGGTATAACGGACTTCCTTGCCTTCATTCCTTGTAGCTTTCAGCGTGGCAGGGCGCACTGAAAAAGCAGATCAGCGCGCCTGTGGTGGGATTTGGTTTTAACATCCAGAAAGGGATTGGTTTGGTGACAATACTATATTTGTACTTCTTAACCCATCATATCAATGTGTTTCCTTGTCCAGTTCAAATCAGTGAGTTAATTTGACCAAAACAATCATATTTTATTGGGCGCTGCTGGTTACGGGAAAGCGTCTTAGAAGACACTCGATTTGTTGCGCAAGTGCTTGCAGTTTGCGTCTTCAGCCGGCTGATCCAGCTGATTCAGCTAGGCAGCTTTGCACACCATATCCAGCCAGCTCAATGCGGACCAGATTAAGGTCTTGCTCTCAGAACTTCTTGGGTGAAAACCATCTAGAATGATGAAGCACAGGCCACCTCAGCACCGTTCTTTTTTTCCGATCAGTGCGAACATAGTGCGAGCTGGCACTGTTGGTAGACCTTAAGTCAGTTTCGAGTCGTCAAAGTTCAACGCAGCAGAGAGACGCAGCTTGAGGCACTCAGAGAGACCTTCCATGCCCTGGACCAGAACAGCCCCTTGTCCAAAAGTTCCTGCTACTCCACCACTACTAGCACTATTATGCACTATCCCATCCATCCATCGAGGACGAACCGAGTCGTCTTGAGACGCTACAATTGCTACAAGTTATTTTGGAGGGGCCAAACCCACTGAAACAGATTAGCCGTCCCATTTTCTGGGTGGTTTGTTCAGATGAGACTGACAAGGTGGGGAAGTCAGATTCCTTACTGCAAGGCAAAGTTGAATTCCTGGATCCTTACTGTATGTATTCTTGTGTACCTTACGCTGAGGTGCGAATTCACTCGTGTTCTTGAATGAGAACATGTTTCCCTTGTTCCCTGAGAATTCTTGTCTGAAACTGTTCATGGTCCTCGTAATGCCACTACATGCCACTACGATTTTGAATTTTGTCGTATATATTGCTGGCACACGTCCAATTTTGCATCCTTTTGCACTGCTCAAATCAGGGAAGGACTTGGGAAATTTAGGAGCAGTTTCAACCGAAAACCGGAGTCGTTTGGAGAAACCACCCCCCTCCGCGTCCGCTGAACAAAACGCCACACCGACCAGCTGGAGCGGTCGCCAGGCGACGGACAGATCACACGACATGACCTGAAGGAAGGACTGCTGCAGGCGCCCGGAAGCGAGTGATTGCTTCCACCATTCGCTCGTCGATGTGTCAAAGAAGACTTGGGTAGCTTCAAAAAAACGAAGCTTTTACGGTGTGTTTTTGTGCAAAGACGGAAGAAAGCTATTTGTGTGTATAGCTAGAGGCTACAGTATAGGGTCTGTCCTATTACTAGTACCTGTAGAGCCTTCAGCCTTCAGTAGACAAGGACATCACTATTTTAGAGAAAGGCCTGCAACCAGACCCCATCATCATCCATTGGGCCCCTGGAAATAGGATAGACCCAAGCCATGTTCTTGAAAGTATCCCGATTCCAAAAGGTTTGACAACCTGAAGCATGACATTGTTCAGGTGAACCAAGATGAAGTTGAGTGGCTGTAGTTTGTCCTTACAAGTCAGAATCGGTTTTGACGCAAGCGATATCCATTACTTTTCAATAACTAATGGCAACCTATGGCAACCTCATGCTAGTGTCCTTAGCCATGGAAGGCTGTTGTGGATCAGAACATAGCTGCGGTACGCGCACCTTTTCTCCTGGGTGTGATTTCTTCAAGAGCATAGTTCTTGAATTGCTGAGCATCAAGAGTATTGATCCCTTGATGGATCTCGGCTTAGTTTGGTTGCCAAGCAATGCGTTTTTCATCCTGCTTTAGGAGTTGTTTTAAGTAGGTGTCGCCCATGCAGGAAGTTTCACTACTCACCTGGTACATGGATAACATACATTGCTCCAGTGGGTTGCATCAGCTCAGTGACATGACTCATGCCTGGCCCATGCCCACATCTCCTTAAATGCTGCTTGGACCAGGCTGGATTGAAGGAGATCCCTGCCGATTTGCTGGAGATCATGGAGGCCGGATCTCTCCATGAAAACAAGAAAGACATATTGTCTAGTGGCTCTAACCACGCTCTTGGAGTATTGCAGGCAGGCCGTGCACGGTGAAAATGGTAAGCTGTACATTTGCATGAACAAGGGCTGTGCCATGGAGCTGCGTCGATCTGTTTATCACCTGATGTGGACATTTCTCCCCTTCAGTCAATGTTCAGTGATAGGAATTGGAGCATCAAATCTACCAAGTGGAAGAGCAGTACTAGATGTGGATCTAAAATAGGATGGTCTCCAGCGGCTTGATTCAAAGGGAAAGCATCAATCGGAAATTATGTGCTCTTCGACCTATCTTGGCTGGACTGGTTGGAAAGCGGCTATCTTTTCAGTTTGGATGCGCAACCCAATCCATCTTTGTTCGGAGGGGAAATAATAGTCAAGACTGACAAGTTTCTGTGTGTTGAATCCAAGTTGGCAACTGGCCTTAATGACTCAACAGGACCATTTCGAAAGAAAGCGTGTCTTTCTTACTGTTTCCTTCCTTCCAGATTCCGGGTTGGTACGGAAACTGCAGCTCTTCTGCTCTGTTTGCTTCCCAAATCTGCCTGCCTCACCTCTGAGAGACTCCTCCACCGGCCCAGTCTCCACGTCTTCAGGCTATAGATCCTCAAGACTATGGCCCGATTGACTACACCGAATTCCTGGCGAAAGCATTGGACAGGCACCATGGACTGGCACCGTCCATGCGGGGGACTCCATCACGGAGTCTATCAGGGCCTCCAGACTACAGCAGACCGATTGAAGATGTAGGGTGGAGTTGCTTGAAGATGGGTGTGTGTTTTGATGCGGAGACCCCCCCCCCCGGGCCCAATGGGAAGGTTGTTTGATTTTCCGAAGGGTTCAACCTTCCAGGGGATCGAATTGAGTTGTCTCCCAATTTGAATACACACCCATATATCATATATCAGTGTCCTCAAAAAGCGCTGGAGACCGCAGTCTCGTCTCCAATTGGTGTCTCATACTTACCACCCCTTGTCCACCACCTTGTCGGAAGAATTGGTCAGTGCTTCATTGCTCTGCTCACTTTGATTGATCGCCATTTTCTCTTCAGTTAGGTGACGAAGGCCTCTTTGCCATCCTCCAGTGCTTCGCAGAAGAGAGTATTCTCAACCACCAGTTCTTTATTTGTCTTCGTCATTTTGAGACGCAAGTCTCGGAAGGAAGCCGGCCCGAATTTGATGCATGTCATGTCATGAAGCCATGAAAAACATTGACTCAGGCTGATGGCATGGCAATGAAGTGGTACAATTCATTTAGTGAAGTTATCATAAGTTATCATGATACACTGATACACGCTGCATCTTCCTTGTGATGCCTAATGCACTTTGTTGTTTTTGTTCACCCATTTTACCTCTTCCAGTCTTCTTGGAACAGGCGTTTTGACTTCGAGGAGGCAGGGATGAGCGTTTGGTTGGGGTTGAGTTTGTGCTTAGACTTCATGGTATTTTTGCCATCGTGATCTACTCCCTTAAAGATTTCAATTTTGAGACTGCTTTTTTGTTGTTCTTGGTGAGTGCTCTAACCACGTTCTTGAAGACCACACTGACCACACCACAGCTCTTTTCATGTAGCATGCTACTGATGCGGATGCAGTCATCAGTCAACATCAGTTGCTGAGGTAGCAACTGGTCCTTCCTCTTCTGAACAGCAAAGCTCCTTGCCACATCCAAATATATCACTTGTTGAATTCCCCCAAGTGTTCATTCTTTGCCAGCTGCAGCAGTAACCCCCTTCCTTCTATACCTGGATTGTATCTGAAGACTGACACTCACCTTGGTCTCACAAAGCGAGGGATCGTATTGACTTGGTGCTTGCCCGACCAGGATGTTTGCTGGTCTGCCTTCAGGGATTGCGACCAGACGCTTGAGCTGCAAGCAGCGAACTTCCGTTCCGAGCTTGGAAGCGATACCGTCCGGCAGCGGGCGTCCGCTGCATGCTGGGTCCTGGTGGAAATGGGGCCTTAGCAGCTGGACATCATACAGCATGTCATGTGCTGTTGAAACAAATACTGCAAATGCACTGCCTGCAAGCTGCGGAACGCCACAAAACACACACGTGGTTGATTGCAGAGCACTGATGGGTTGTATTCATCAGGAATGGCGATGGCAAAGTCTTTGCGCATCAGATGAAGCCAGTGCTGGAAAATCCAGAGGTGGAGTCGGCCGAATGGTCATCTCGCGAGTTGTTTGTCGTTGGCAATGTTGTCAGTGGTCCTCTTGATGTTTCTCGTGAAACTAATTTCTGTTTGGACGCCATGTGCAACTGACTGAGTATCATGTTCTTCACTCTCAATGATGCGTAGTTTGGCAATGTTTTGCTTGCACTGTGCCGTTAGATTGGCGACCCAGCGATGGATGCATCAGGTGACTGGCGCCTTTGGAGCCTCTGCACTGGGTGAGGTGCTGAAGGAGGTCGAGAGCACTGATGGCATGATCGACTTCGAGGAGTCCACCGGTTTAGCTGTTTAGATCGATCGGCAGCGACATCTATATATTGATGGGTATCCTGGTATCCTGGTATCCTTTAGGTCTGAGCTAAGCCCCGACCCCACCCCAACCCACCTCCAGAATACAAATTATGGTACTGTATATTTCTTTTGGCCTCCTTCCCCGACGGATTCGGCGATGTGTTTTGTTCCCCCGTGGCCCGTGAGCCCGGATTCCGAGCCCTTCAGATTCCGAACCCGTGGGCTGTTGGACGGTGCCCGCGAGGTGGTAACAGATTCGGGATAGATGGAAGATGATTCCGAACGGACCTTCCAAACAGTTGTAATCAATCAAATATATGATGTATACATATAAATAGTTTTTGTTGATGGCAGTTGGGGTAGTGATGATATTCCAAGTGATTCCATTTTTCCCGCTTTGACTCACTTGAGAACTGCGCTCATAAATGATGAACAAGTCATGATGATGGGTATGTTGGATTGTCCAATACCGTGTGCTGCTTACGCTGATAGCCATTGATGGTGCTCCTGAGCCTGTTGCAGACTTCTTTCAGTCTTTTGTGTAATAGTGGATCTGACAGATCCGAGGAAAAAGGAATTGATTCATCAATGAATACAACTCTCTCATTCCACACGTTACACCACTCGATGAGGAGCTAGGAATCGTTCAAAGCCATGAACCCACGATTGAGCCTGCCCCTTGAGGAGTTCTTGACCATGATGCGTGCCACTGGCGAGAAGTCCTAATGGTGACGAACATGCCAGGCAGTGATGAAGCCTGGACCAGAGACTGAAGACAGTTTCTGTCCGGCTACCGCCATAAACGGTGCCGACAAAAGTAAAGCCTTGGAGGCGTTATCCTCATCTTGACTACGGTTAATGATCATTGAAGATGTGTACATATTCATATTCAGAGTTGGATCAGTTTCACTCACGGACTCAAAAATTGGGTCCAAAAAGCATTGAAAAAGAACGGATTCCACTGCCGACATCAATTCCAAGCTCGAGGGCTGTAGGCGTTTGACATCTTTTGACTTCCAGAAAAAAAAAAAAAAACTAATAAGAACGATGCGAGGAGGTGGAATGAGAAAGAACGAACTAAAATGTTGATTGGCAATTCCATTATGTTTCTGACTCTTTGTGATATGGTTGGAGACCGGCAAAGGTCTTAAGGTCTCAGATCCAACTGAGCTGGCCGCTAGTTCGTTTTAACCGATGCTGCAACTGTAACTTTGGCATTGGCCATTCTCTCACTATTTGTTGGGTGTTCTTTCTTTTGGCTCCCGCTCAGGTGGTGACCACTGGTTTTACTGTGGTTTGCGCCCTGTGACTGGCCACAGACAGCTGTGCTACCAGGTGAGACCGCTGCGTCAGCATGTGCCTGGTTTGTTGGGTTTGTTTTTCGTCTTCGGGGAGGGAAACTGAAAGGTCGCTCGAGAGCGTGGAGCCTTTGTTTGCTGTAGCTGTAAAGCTGAAGTTCCGCTTGAAATGTGCCTGTGCGCTTCAAGCTTCATGAAGCGGACGTGTATTGTCAACTGTGATTTGAGTCCGCGACAATGGCCAGATCAGCTTGCCTCTAGTCCTTTCAATGATTTTCTTCAGCACACAGCCCCTACCCTCAAACAAGAATGAGCAAGAAGCTGTTTTTTAAGTAGTTTCTCCCTGACCTTCTGTCATTTGACCTGGCAGACCTAGCATGGAGGCTAGCGTCGCAAGAAATCAGTTCCAGTCCAGTCAGTTCACCGACGAATTTGCCTTGGGTTGGCAAGGGATCCACTTGACGGTGCACTGAATTAAGGCTTTAAAGGGAGCTTGGCTTTTTGAAGAACTCACTCTAGAACCGATTTAAACATGTTGAAACCGTTTCTAGCGTTTGTAACACACCGGACATGCTTAGCACTGAAAAGGAAGATCAGTTCATATAGCATGTTGCCAAAGCAGCATCGACTCAACTCACGGAGCATCTCGAGCTTGTTCCACGACTCACAGGGTGTTCTGACGAGGAGACACGATCGGACTCAGAGTTGCCCGTTTCGCGCTAAAAGCCTTGCAACGCAAAAAGCTGTACTCGCAGCGTATGTCTAGGTTTCAAGGTTTGATGAAGAACAACTACCAAACAATTGGAGTGCTGTATATGTGGCTATACTAGATGCTGCCATGATTTGCCATGCTAAACATGCCTCTCAAGATCTAACCAACACGGACCCAAACAGCCTTCAGCCTTCTTTCCTCGTCCTCGAAAACTCGGAGCTGTCGTCAGCTTCCCCCTGTGCTGCCTAGAGCGTCCTTGGCTCGGAGGCCCCAGATGTTGCTCGGTCCATGCTGCGTTCGGCGCAGCTGGAAGCTGAGTTGGGGAGCTTTTCAGCTTCAGCAAGGGCTCGTTCAGGCTTCTGGTCAGGGTTTTATTTTTATTTGATTCTTTAAATGGTTGCTTAAAAGCAACAGCAGTGATCTCACTGGGGGGATACTCGTACCTTCAGCAGCGATGATGCCAGAATATTGACTAAGTCAACGATGAGGCATCATACAGTGGGCCGACCATGGTAGTGTCAGTTTTTTGGGTCATGTGTCGGCGCGTTGCAGTGAAACACTTGGTCTCGAGGAAGTTGATATGTTTGACAAGGGTTTGTTCCTGAAAGTGTGGGGTCGACTCAAAATCTGCTTTGAAGAAGGGCAGCAAATGTTGACTCCATCCTAGCTCAAGGTTCGTTGGCCAAAGCTGCCAGCGGTTCCTTGGCACTAGAAGGACCGATAAAATGTGTGTGTAGGCAAAGGGGTTCTCAGAATCATGACAAAAAGGATACCAAAAGATTAGACTTCACATCTCTGACTGCATCAAGATGCATGACAACATCCTTTCTGTATCACAAGCGGCTGCTTGGTGTGGGGAACGCAGTCTTCACACGACGGCTATGGCTACATATGGCGATCTTCCTTCGCCGGAGCTTGGCTCCGCCCTCCGCGCGGTGCGTGGACTCCGAGCGACGACGCTCCGCGGTGTATCTGCCAGTGGTGCTGGAAGCAGCACCGGGGCAGGCTGGACTGGGGAGGGTTGGCTTTGAGGTGTTCAAGAGTCCTTCTTGCCGAATAAAGGACATCCTCATGATTCATGATATTCATGATACAGGCGTCCCACATCATGCCACGACATTGCTGTATTCTTGTCCGTTTTCCATTGCGAAAGAGATAGTGTTCCAAGTTATGACCATAGATCCCACTTACAGTCACTGATTCATGTTCGACTTTGTATACTTCCGCTGTCTTAAACACCAGTGAACCAGTTCGCACAATTTGGTGAGTCCGCTTCCAACCCTGCCAGTCCGCTTTCCTGAGCAGCCTATCATCGCACCACGAAGCCCTCGTCCTGCGATGTCTTATCGACACCGGATTCACAGAGCTTATGATCGAGAAGCTCCTCGAGCGGACTACTCAGGAGCTGCTTAGCCGCTGTTCTTCGGCACATTTCTGGAACCGTGTTAGCTCCAAACATGCCATCACTGTCCGATGTCAAACCATGTGTGCTTGGCTTTCTGTCATTTGTTCTTGGGAGCCTCAGTTCCCCAGACCTGCCTGCAGGACAGAGGAAGCTGAGTCCGGCAGATTTGCTGTTGCATGGAGCAGCAACAGGTGGGGCCTTCCTAAGTCATGCGGTACCACAGCCAGAGAATGCTCAATCCACTGTAGGGGAATCAAGGTCGGAAAAAAGCAAGGTCGTTTTGGATTGGGAAGAATTGGTGGGTGACGTTTGTTTGTGTTATGGTCAACAATTGGTCAACATGTGCTTTGAAATCCTGTTTCTGGAGAATGCACGCTGAATCTGCTAGAGAGCATCATATTGTTGCCGTTGATATTGGTGATACCTAGTTTTGCTAGATGTCTCTATCGGCCTCCACAACTGGAACATCATCCCCACATTGTCTCCCTGAGGTGACGTTCTGCGAGCGCAGGAGGTTCTTGTTGCCCGGCACCAATCTGGCGGCTAGGTTCCTTTTTTGAAAGATATCATCACCTCATGAAGATTGATAATAAACATGGGCCAGACCTGTAAACATACACACAATACTGTCTTTGCACTTGCGCGAGGGGGGCGTCTAGGTCAGGCAGTTGTATGTTGCTTGGGTAAAAGTCATTGGACATCATTGGACCAGGTTTGTTATGAGAAGTTCGTGAAACGATGCCGGCATATCCATGAACAGAGGGTCAATTTCATCAAATTTCAGGGCAGGAGCGGGGGTACTGGGGTATGTGAAGGCTCGCAGGGATTGTTGGTAGATGTTGGTAGAGGTGCGAGGTCAGAAGGCCAAAGGTGTGGAACACAGTGGTTTCATGTGGTTTCTCCAAAGAGCACAGTGTGCGATGAGTTTGCACTACAGTCACCAGAGAGGGTCCCTCGTTCTCCATGACCCTTCTTTCTCTGGAACCAGCGACAAAGTCCGATTCCGCAACTGTATAGGATTCCGTAACTTTTTTATTTGGATTCCGCAACTAGGCTTCCGAAACTAGATTCTGGGATTCCGCAACTAGGATTTCGCAGCTGGGATTCTGCCACTGTTTGGATTCCGCAACAGTTCGAGCAGCAACCACAGGCCCCAAGCATCCAAGCAAAAGCAAAAACAGGGGTGGGGTGGTGGGTGGGAATCGCAGTTTTTTAAACATCAGTTGTAGAATTTGACTCTCCAGTTTCAGAATACCAGTTTCAGATAGTTTCAGAGACCCAGTTGCAGAATCTTATTTTCCAGTTTCAGAATCCAACCGATTAGTTTTCCGAATCCGGCTCTGAGCTTGAAACCAGTATATATAATATATACTGTACGAAAGTGTGGATGATTTGTTGATGATGATTCTTTGGAAGTATTCTTGAGAATTGTCTACTGTACTGCTCCCGCCCACTGTCGTCAGAAATAGCTACGAAGTCCCTTTGTTCTATTCTACTGGGCCCAGAGATCCTGCAATTTGCGCATTGAGGAACTCAATGCTGCACTTCTTGGAATGGATGTGCATTCACGTATCTGTAACTTGAGAGTCGTTAGAAGGATCCCACCAGCCGCAGCTGCTCAGGAATTGCGGCGCAACATCGAGAGAACCTTTGCTGAGTCCTGGCTGGGCGATTCCGCAGAGTTGGATCGTGAGCGCCTCTTGGTCTCGTTCGGAGCTCGTACGCCGCTGGAATATGTTTCAGCAGCTCTTAGGTGGGCTTGGCAAGATTCTTCCAGGGTATCAAGTGAGTGTCATGTGCAACATTGTCAGTTTTGTCATTCAGACAACGGGGTGGAGTCGAGTGGAGCGCTCCGCTGCTTCTGGGACTCGGCTCCACGCTGCAAGACTTCACTCACGCACGCGCGCGCATCGCACGCACCCTGGAAGTCCCATACGTTTGAGGTTGCATCGAGGTGCTGCTGTCCATTGATTGCACATTGCCAGAGGCCAATGCCGTTTTGCAGGAGAGATGATTCATGCGGCAGGTGGCTTTGTGTCCCAATCAACCTCATTTGGGTCGCTGTTGCTAAGTTTGGTTGGTTCAGTTAAGTTGGTTGACCAATACGTTTGTGTTTTGGAGAATGTTGCACAACAAAACCCTTACATCAATGCGGTTTATTAGTTTGGCTTTCGTGGCCTTGGGAAGATGAGCTCCGCAGCGACACTTTGACCATGCATAATCGTTGATTGCTGTTGAAGATCCAAGCACCTAAGAGCTCAACTAGAAGGAACCCCACCACGGCTAGAGTTGCATGAATTCGTGCAGAGCAAACATGCCAATTCCAGACATGGGCTATGAATGGAGCAGCAGCATTGAACTTGCTGAAATAATAAGAGACATGTAGCAACATTGGTGTGCCCCGAGGCCCGAACCCATCCCAAAACCTTGTAAGAGGGGAAAGATGCATGGTTGGTCATAGAAATCACCCAGGCTATGCAGTTGTCCTTTGCAGGACTTTCCTGCGGACCAAACACACATCAGCAGCTGGGCCGCAATCGGCAGTTATCGGATTTCGATTGTTGGAGATGAGACCTGGCTACCCGCATGTAGCAGAGCCGTTTGAGGTGTAAAGGACTTTCTGGACCTACTTTTCCTTCCTCGCCAGGCTGGGCATGTGCATCAAGATCGTCCGTAATTAATCAAGACATGCGCGTTGTTTGTTCGGTGTGGATTCTTCAGACATGTGACCTTATTTACGGACATTTGCATGGAGGAAGTACACATGGAGTAGCCCTGACTGAAGCCAGATATAGCCTAGCAATCAAATGTTTGTTTGTCACAGACTGGAATATACTGGAATGAAAGCTTTACGAGTCTACGATCTCTACTGCTCATGAATCTGAAAGAAGGTGCCTTCAGAGGGAAATGGTAGACACAGGGCCCTAGTTGCCCAACCGTAGAAGATCGCAACGTCAGAAACGTTGCGGTTGATAAACTTTGGCACCATGATGCATCATACACGTGAAGCAACATGTTGAGATGATGAGATGTCAGATATCCTGTCAATGCACAATAGGTGCAGAGTAGTTCTCTATGAATCATGCTTCTGTTTTGCTGCACAAGAAACTGGAGATGCATGCAACGGCTGGCTGTCCCTTAGACTTTGATTCACTGTTCTTTTGCTTCTTTCCGGCTCCAGTTGGCCCATTGGGCAAAAAGCTTCAAAAGCAAGAAACTGAAATCCAGTGGGTGTTTTGCAGCCAAAAGACCACACCCTTCTCGATTCATGATGTGTATATTGGTAAGCCTTGCACATGTTTAGCTGATCGGTGATTGCAAAGGGGAAAGCAAACTTTCATGGGTTTGGTGTCCTTGATGTTTGTTGGGACTCTGTGCACTCCACCAGGCAGCCACACACTATGCCACTGGACATGCTGGGTACACCGGAACGATAAAGAGCATGGAGGCTGGGAAGTCCCTTGGTCCTGGTGGTGTGCAAACAAGTGCAAAGATGAATGGGTTGTGGTTTCTCAATACTGCTGATTGATTAAACAGGCCCTCGTGCCATGCCACTTCCTTTGTCTTGGCAAAATTGAGATGCTTCAGAAAGAACTCAAGGAAGCACATCAGCAGGCGGTGCCTCTTGTCCTGTTTTGCCCAGCCGGTGTTTCTTCAACCAGTATCCAGTCCTGCTACACATTCCTTTTCACAGGTGTCTCAGAGTTTGTATCTCTTTTGAGAGTCTCTTGGTTGTTTAGCATGTGCTGCCTGTAGAGGCTGAAGAGAAGGCAACAGTTTGCTGCATTTTCGCACAGTGTTTCAATGGGGTGGTGCTGAACAAGTTCATTAGATGTTTTGAGACAGACATATTGTCCCTTAGAGAAAAAAACAACGTGGAACAACAGAATGTAACCAGTTTGATTGTACAGATGTGTTATTTTTTGTGTGTTTTTTGAGCGTGTTTGAAATCGTCTGATCTCATTGACAAGCTCCTGCGAGCCTGTGCATGTTTTTCCGTGTGTGTTGTGGAAAACTCCAAAAGGATGCACAAGGGATACGTTTCCCCCACCAAGTTTGAATGTTCCAGTCGCATGGGAATTCAGTCCAAGACGAACAGAAGGACGACATGAACCTTGTCCAACATTTGACAGATGTGCTTTTGTATGTTTTTGTCAGTTCACAATTCTTAAAGGTTGGGAACATGGGCGAACCATGTTCACTGCTGTCACTGTTGCATCTCCACAACTACAAATTCGTGCCTTTGCTGTTTATTGTGGTATTTATGTTTTTATTTCTCAAGCAGATGAGTCACATAATTGCGCTTGCCTCGTGTTTTAGGCGGAAATTGAGATGCTTCAGAAAGAACTCAAGGAAGCACAGCAGCAGGCCGTGCCTCTTGTCCTGTTTTGCCCAGCCGGTGACTCTTCAACCAGTGTGCAGTCCTACTACACATTCCTTTTCACAAGTGTCTCAGAGGTTGTCCCTCTTTGGAGAGTCTCTTGGCTGTTTAGCATGTGCCGCCTGTAGAGGCTGAAGAGAAGGCAAGAGTTGCTGCATCTTCACAGGCACTTTCAATGCGGCTTCCCTTGTTCATGTCGGACCGATTGAGGCAGATGTCCGATTGAGGCAGATGTTGCTATGAACACAATGTTTCGAGACAGATATGATTTGCCTGGTTACTACACGGGAAGAAAAACCATTATGAAAACAGGGTTGGGCACACACACACACACTCACACTAAAACAGGTGTCGTACATGGTTTCTTACTCTTCTGGGCCGGTTTCATCCATTTTCACGCAGGAAGAATGCCACAAAGGGTCAGTATGTTCAGAAGGGATAATGGGTGGAGCGCGCTATCGCAACAAAAGGGCAAAACAGCAGGATCAAAAAGGGCGACCGTCTAGGTTTTTTGATCCTAATTTGGACATATTTGGACAAAAGGGCAAAAGCTGTAGGTTCCAGAGTTGGACAGGTTACAAGCAGTTTGTGCATATTATGTGTTTGAAGCGGACGACCCCTAGAATTCTCCAGTTGGAGCGAGGCAGAAAATGAGATGCTGAAGAAAGGACTCAAGAAAGCGCAGCAACAGGCCGTGTTGCTTTTCCGTCTTTGCCCAGCCTATGACTGTTCAATCAATATGGCTCTTCAATTTACAGGTGGACGTGCACGTTCTCCATCTCGAGTGTTGAACTCCTTTGTTTTCGCTTTCAGAGTGTGTTGTTCGTATACCTAGAACCTGCATGACCTCTTTTTTGGACCACAAACCACTCAACAGGTCAAATGGGTTCTAGGTCCTAGGTATATTCTTTATGGATTCATGGGGCATGGCAATAAAGCCGTCGCATGATGTCGCTGCGAAAATTCCGCTAATGACACCAAGTGCAAGGCACCAGGTGCCATAGAACACATGAAACTGTTGGGTAGGTGTGGGTCTTGCACATGGCTCTTTGAGGGTGATGACAGCATGGAAACCAGTTCTTTGCTATATGTTTGCTTCCCATCAAAGCTGCAAACTGCTGTTTGTTTGCAGAACCCAAAGCTGCTTGAAGGCCATCGATTCCTTGTGTTAGTGGGAAAGACAACAGGATTGCTGTTCTGTCAATCTGTGGTGTGATTTCCATGCAAGAGTTGACAACCATTGTACTGGCCATATCCTGCGGCTTTAATAAACACATGTTGTTTGCGTGTTTCCAACTTGGGGGGTGGGCACTATGTTGTGTTTCTGAACTCAACAATCATGTCTATCAAGTCTACCGCTCAACGAGAGTAAATTCCATGCATGCAGAGCCGCCAGGTGGGTGCTGTCAATGTGACCCTGTACATTACCCTGAAAGACCAACCGGCTGTCACGGCTGACACAAATCCTATAGAATCATACCATGGACAGTTTCGAGATGATGCAGAAAGATGCGTCATTTCGTTTCCTGGGAAGTACCCCTCTGGATGGGGTGCCCTTGTCAAGGCACATCATGACAGCAGCATTGGCTGCGTATTTTTGGTCACTCCTGACGATGGCCTTGGAAAACATGATCCTGACCCTGAAGCGGAAGACGGCAGCTGTTACTGCAAGGCCATCTATGGTGAGCGAAGTTGGAAGGAGTTTCACTACCTAAAGGTTGTGAAGTGCCCTTACACCCAGGAACAGATGGACAAAGAACAGGCGGAAGCAGCAGTCATGTGTAAAGTTGTTGTTGCAGAGGACGCTACCCCAGAGGAGCGGCAAAAGGCAGAAGAAGAAGCTAAGCAGAAGTACGAGGAGAATCAGAGAAGAGCACCATGGGGGTGTGCCTGGTTCCCTGCTTGGATGAAGAATGGCCACAAGGCAGTTGAGAAAGGACAGAAACTTCAGGTTGTGTTTTTCGCCGGGCAGAAGGGACAAGGCAAGGTACATTGGAATGACCTGCCGCGCTCAGAGCTGTGGAACGGCAAGGGTCTTGGTGGGTCCCAGAAGGGAGAGGTCGCCTACCTGGACAAGATGGGATGGGAATATGAAGAGATCGATGTGATGCAATTTTTGCAAAGCGAATTCAAGCTTGGACAGCAGGTAGATGCACGCTATCAAACACCTGATAAAAAGATTGAGTGGAGAAGAGGATGGATAATTGGAGTCCCTCCTGATGTGGGCCACACTCCCAATGACCCGAAATGGGAGCCAGAGTGGACTGTAGAGTGCTATGAAGACCCGAAGGTATTCCAGTCCACGCATGTGATGCACACAACAGGACCCATCGACGAGGTGGTGAACAAGGTCAGCAATGTCGGTAAGGGCAACTTGCAGAGCTGGCTTCAGGAGCATTTGCCTGAGGGTGTGAACGTGCAGTATGTATCAAGATGCAGGTTGGAACATGGAGATGCTGCTTTGGCGGTCAATGTCTGTGTCCCAGAAGTGAAGGCAAGAACAGGGATACACAGTGGCAGCGTGCGATATGCTCACTGCGAACTATGTATATTATTTATAACCCAAGTTAAGGTTTGGACGTGTGTGTGTGTGTGCTGCAACATGCATTTTTTGTTGTATCATTTCAAGGCACTGTGTGATCAGAATGAACAATTGGGCCGGCAACAGGCTTTAATTAGGTATACTGTTGCGCAACAGTGTTTGTTCCGTTCCCCACAGACATGTTCAACTTGCAGCAGCGCGCTTGCAAATAATGAATTGTATCAAACAAGTTATTTTGAACAGGTGCACAGGTAAGGTAAGAAGCAAACACTTACCAATGTACCAACCTGATGTTTGCATTGACACAATATTACGACACATTTTCTTACATTCTTGTTTGGAATGTGTTCTGGAATATCATCTATCATAAAGGTTGGCAAATGTTCTAGACTGTGCTTAGACGTCCTTGTTGGCATATGTTTCGACGTTTGTCCTGCGTTGAGGTCTGACGTGTGCCATGACATGTAGTCCGATTTTGGTTCTGATATGTGTGTTTGACATGTGTTCTGCCATGTATCCCGACATAGTTTCTGACATATGACTTTGCATTTTTCATGGCAAATTGCAGGCATTCTAACTCGCATATCTTCTGACATCCTTTCTGGCATGTTTTCCGGCACTCTACCTGGCATTTTCTGACATCTCTTCCGGCAAGCTATCTGGCATATCTTGCGGCATTCTTTCTATCATAAGCTTTGACATCCTTTCTGGCATTCTGCTTCTACCTGCCATGTACTCTGGAACTCTATCTGGCATATCTTACTGCCATTCGAGCGACACATCTTCTGACTTCCTTTCTATCATATGTTCTGGCATCCCTTCCGGCATTCTATTTACCATATATTCTGCACTCTATCTGGAACATACTGGCACACCAACTGTGCCGGCACCCAGACTGGGGTGGAGCTCTCTATGGTGCACAGGTCCGTGCGTGTCCAGACTGCACTGAGACTGGCACTCTCTATGGTGTGTAGGTCCGTGCATGCCCAGACTGACCCTGGTCCATCGTGACACGCCTTTTAGAACAAATTCACAGCATATCGTACAGCCTAGGGCAGCGCACGTTGGTCATTGCCGGGAAGCACAGCCTGGCGGGACTGGCAAATCTGGCGGTCGTAGCCCAAAGCCTCGCGCACTGACAGTGGGTCTCGCCGCGGAACGCCCACAAGTGTGAAAGGGCCATCCAGCCCACAAGCAGCCCACTTAGCACAAAAAGGCTATCCAGCCAATAGCCAATGTTGATTGAAGCAGGATATGTGCTGGGCTAGCCACCTATTGTTTCACAGCTTGGCTTTTCCAAGGCTTGACTTGCCCCAGGGTTTTCCCTGCTTTGAACATCTGCATGCCTTGGTTGGCCAATTTCTGGTTGTGCTCCTCACCTCTCTTGGAAAGGAGCTGCACAACTTGCCTCCGTCCTGTCACCCTCACAGCCACAGCACCAGTCTTGTAGGTCATGAAGTGCAGCCCTGTGTTTGCCCTTGTCTTTCCTGCCTTTGCCATTTTCTTTTGACAGGCAGGCTTCTTGACCACCACCTTTTCAGAAGCAGCTGGCCTGCCAACAGAGCATCTTGGCACAAAAACACACCCCTTGTCCTTCTTCAAGTCCTGCACGTGGTCCCCACGCTCATTCAAAAGCGCCCAAATTTTTCCCAGCCTCTCCACCTGGTATTGGGTGAGCTTCTTCCCAGCTTCCAGGTATTGGTCTTCTCCCTGCCAATCGTTCTGCAATGGTTGCACACCACCAGTAGAGCATCAGCAAGTCTTTGACAGTGTTCCCTGCATTGACACAGGGAAAGAATCCCTAATGCCTGGGAAGTCCGACCTGCTTGAGCACTTCAGAGAGGTCATTTGAACTGGAGGGTGGGGTCAGCCTTGTAGAGGCTCTTCACGAGAGGCAGGAGGTCCACCAAATCCTGCCCAACCACAGCCTGCAGGCTTAATTAAGTATTTGCCCATAGCAAAAGCGTTCTGGATTCACACATTCTTGACCTGGGTCACCAAGCTGTCAGCTAAGTGCTGGGTGTCCACTTCTGGGACTTTCTCCCTTCTAGCACCACCCTTCTTTGGCATTTTGAGCAAGACGGGCTCTCCACCCATGGATGTTGAGGGGCTCTCCAGCGCATGGATGTTGGAGGGGCTCTCCAGCCCATGGATGTTGGAGGGGCTCTCCAGCCCATGGATGTCTCTGCAGCCCACTGGGTGGGAATGATTGAGTTGTGAAGATTGCGCTCTCCAGTTTTGTGGAGGGTTTGTTGGCTGGATCAGCTGTATGTGCACCTCAAAAATTCAATCGAATTTTCAATCGTATTTTCAATAGAAAACTTGCTTTTTTCAATCGAAAATTCAATCTAACATAGAAGTTCTTCTTTCCAAAAATCCATCTTCAATCGCAGATTGAAAAAATCAATATTGCAATTGGATTTTTTCAATCGAGGATGCTCTGGGGGGGTGAGAACGCTGGCAGGAACATTCATTGAAGGTGTGCAGTCAAGGCAAGACATGCTAGTTGGGTGCTGAATAGATTTCAGCCAAAGGTGCAACACCCTATGGGATTGTCTATGGCAAGAGCTACAAAGGACTTCTAGCAGAATATGGTGAACCAGTTCATGGTTACATCAAGAGCCTCAACAAAGGAGAACCGAGATTGCATTTATGCTTGTTCTTGGGAAAAGTTGAAAGGCAAGATACCTATGTGCTTCCAGATGGAGTGCCGGTAGTACTTAGCAAGCGCATCAGAAGAACAGATCAAGATTGGTCCAAATACTTGCCTGTATACAAAGGCTTCAATGTATTTTCATGTGAGTATCAAACCAACTTTGTAAGCAGAATCATTGCCACCAAGAGAAGGGCAGAAGCATTACCAGCAGCGCAGACAGAATTTCCTCGAGAACGTGTAACGGTGAAGTTTAGAGATGAAGATGCAGAGGCAGTTATGGCCAAGGCTCTAGAAGGGGGAAGTGATTCAGAAAAAGAAGAGCAACTATTTCCAGAACCAAAGGAGATTCCTGCTGCAGCAATGAAGAGAGATGGAAGTGAAAGAAAAACAGGCGGAGAAGAAACACCAAGTAAGAAACAGCAATTTCTCTTCGCAGATGAGAAAACACTTGAAGAAGTGAAGGCATATCCCTCTACATCATTGCCAGCCGGACAGCCAAATCCAATTATTCCTATACAGTCTTCATTGAGATCACCGTCAGCGCCATCTAGACCAAGAGAAGCAGTTGAATTACTTGAAGAGGAAAGCCCAATGAAGAAACTCAGGCTCCAAGCAAGAAGGTCAAGATCAATATGGTGAAAGTTGGAGGCGAAGATCTTTACCATGTGGATGAAGAGTTATCCCCAGTTGCAGAAGAAGTTTGTGAAGAAGCGTGGGATGATGAGAAAGATGATGCTTCAGACTTGTGGCGTGATGGAGAACATGAGCCAAGAAGGTAGCGCCAAGGAAAAAGCTACCTAACAACACGCAATGTATATGACGGGAAGAAGCTATATCAACTTGGAGATGGAATTTCAATCAAGAGGTGGAAGAGAAGATCAAGACTAGTTGCAAGAGAAATGTGTTTTCACTGAAGGAAAGAGAGATGACTTTTTGCTCACCAGCGACTTCAGGACATGTACTGAAGCTTCTACCGACAATATTCTTGCAAAGGATCAGTGAAGAAGAAGAGGCAAGAGAGGGAGAAGGAGCATTCTCACAGGCGCTAGGATGTCTTGATGTGAAAGATGCATGTCTACAAGTTCCACAAGAGAAACCATTGAAGGTAATCCTGAGAGGAGAAGAATTCCTAGTGAAGAGGAACCTACCTGGACAAAGAGTTGGAGCAAAAGCATGGTCTGACTTTTTTCACAGAGCACTTCACAGAGGAACTCAACTACAAGTTCAGTGCTGAGTGTCCAGGCCTAGGAAGGAATGAGCAGAGTATCCTTTTGATCCATGTGGATGACTTGATTTTCACAGGTGACTCAAAGTATATCAACGCAATCTTCTTCAAAAAACCAAGGCAAATTTGACACCAGTGTGAGCCAGAATGAGAGGATTGGAGACGAGTTTAATTTTCTAGAAAAATACAAACTGAAAGTTGATGGACTATGGATCCAACCAGGCAACCACATCCAGCTGACGTTGAAGGCCTATGGAGACCAGATTGGAACTATCAAACTCCAACAACTACCAGCAGACAACTCAATCCAGATGGAAGACCAGTCAGAAGTCTTGCATGAACCAGAGAAGATTAGCCTTTTGAGAAGCATTGTTGGATCAGGTATCTACCTATGTCAAGAGAGCTATGATGTAGCATTCACAGTGAAGGAATTGGCTTCAAGAATGTCAAACCCTACAGCTATGTCATTTCACCACTTGAAGAAATTCTTGGGAATTCTGAAGAAGGCTATGGACTATTGTCTAGTGCTTGAATTTTCTACCAGCAGGAGAAGGTTATATCAAGAAAGGAGAAAGCGATTGGTGCTTGGAGACATTCTCAGATTCAGACCGGAGTGGAAACAAAATCCACAGACAGTCAACATCAGGAGGATTTCGTGCGTTGAATAGTTGTCCATTGTTCTATAGCAGCAGAACACAGAAGATTGTCAGTCTATCTTCGTGTGGAGCAGAACTACACGCCTCGGCATCAGATGGGATTGCTCCTGGGACAAAGAGGTGGACCATTATATTTTCACAGAATCATCAAGCGCGCGCCAACTTGTGACAAAGAGAGATGTTGGGACAAGTGAGACACTTAGACGGAAAGTTGCTGTGGGTTCACAACAAGAAAGACTTCAAGTGGTACAAGTGCCAACAGATGGCAACATAGCAGACCTCAACCCAAAACCACTTGGAGGAAAAGAGTCAGATACTTGATGAACCTCATTGGTTACTGGCACAGTGAAGACCAAGTGAGAGTAGGAGAATATGAGAGAACAGAATTTGAAGAAATTGCAGGAAAGGTCAACAAGATTGCAAAGATGCTTGTGAGAATGGTAGCGTTGGAGGGCTTGACAGAAGCTTTGTTCAAAGAAGGAGACAACATCCAGTGTGGATTGGAAGACATGAGATTGGGGGAGATGATGGAACCCATCTACAACTGGATTTTTCTATCATGGTGGCTTTTGCAATCAACATCCTTTCTCTTGCGATAGTGATCTTTGTTGTCTATAAGATTGTCAAACGTCTTGACTTGAAACTCAAAAAGACAGTGATGAGCAACGGGGTCATACGGTGAGACGTCGCAAGGACAATTGGGTAGAGATACAATGGAGATCAGATGAACTAGACAACAGGTCTGCAGGACTTGAAACTGACATCAGGAACATGGAGAGGGTTTTTGATTCATGGTAGAATCGTTACTCTACACAACTACGTCAGGAGAATTCACAGTGGAGTGATTCTTCATGGAGGCTTTGTAGAAAGAGAAGTACCAGATGTGCAAGCCATCAATGTGTATGAAATGCTGAATGAGATGAACGCAGGACGCGATTTAGCCAGAAGGAGTTTTGAGGACATGCAGAGAACAGCAGGAGTATTCTATGGACATCAGGTAATGTTGAGAGCAGCCATGAATGGGGCAAATCCAACAGAAGGACCGCTATACAGAAGTTTTTTAAATCAAGGAAATAGAGAACTATCAATCAGGCAGGATTTTGAAGCAGCGCAGGCAAATCAAATGTGTGGTCGACTTGAAGCAAAAGTACAGCAGCTTGCAGAAAAACAGTACAACTTGCTAGGGAGAGCATACCAGAAGCAGCAGATGCAGTTGAAAAATACATGGATAATTACCGGGACTTGTTGGACTGTGCGCTCAGGATGAGAGAACATCCAGATGAACCACATGACGTGCCAACAATCGCTAGGAACCCAGTTCCTGGAAACAATGAGCAAATTCAGACAAGTAAGAGGAACAAAAACTGAATGAGAGAAAATGGACTATGGTGGCAAGGTGAACCCAAAGAGGCAGCTTAGGGTCTCACATCGCCAAGAAGGAGTGCCCACCATTTTCAGCTTAGATCACAGTTCACATGTATAGCGTGACTGACATCATGGTATCACTGCGCAGCCCCTTTGGCTATTGAGAAAAGTGCGTAATATATCCACATCATCTTAAATGTTGAAGTCGCGTATAATGAGTTTCTTGTTGTTCACCCTCCACCCTCCAGGCAATGCACGTGCTGAGGGACAAAGTTCTTTGTGGAGACCTTGATGTCCGACTCAGCGGATCCCTTGCTTACATTCATCCAGTCCAAGTTGACAAGACTAAGTTTTTTGAACAATACGAGAGCAGTCTTCAATCCTTGTCGAAACTGACTGAACATCAAGAATCAAAGCTTCGGCAGCTGCATGAGAAGAAAAGCAAGGGTGTGCACTTGTCAGCTCCTGCGGGTGCGGGCAAAACGTTTGTGGCAGTGCAATTCGCGCTTGACAAAACCTATGAAAAGTGGGAATCTCAGGAACCTATCCTCTACGTTGCTCCTCGACCTTCCCTGGGACTGCATTTCGTTCACTGGTTGATTGAGAGGCATCTATGGCTAGGATTCAATGGAGGAAACGTCAAGGACTTGCTGCCCAGAATCGTGCTCATGCACCAACCGTTTGAAAAATTCGTCATATTGACTCTGCAAGAAAATCAACTTAAAGAGGAACGAACTGTTGCTACAAAGTATGCGCTGGCAATTTTTGACGAGGCGCACGAAATATTCACCGGCACCAGTGACGACAACATGACCGGAATTTACAAAGACTTGCAAGCTGATCAAAAGCTGCTGCTGTCCGACAGGTCTCAATCAGGCTCGCGCTTTGCACTTCCTGACGATGTTGAAGACAATGTGAACCTCGACGAAGTGGTGAGAAGTACAAGGAGAATTGTCGCAGCTGCACAAGCATTTGAACTCGAAAAAACTGAAGGAGTTACCACCACATGTCGCGGGACAGCTGGTCCCCCTCTCAAGACCTTCATCTTTAAGGCCCCCGACTCCACTGAACAGATGTATACCAAATACTGTGAATACACCAAGCAAGCGATCTGGCATGTTCGCAAGTCTTACCCTGGTCTGAGAAGCTTGCACCGCCGGGTCGCAATCATAGTGCCAGACAACGGTTTTTGTCACAATCTCAAGAAACTACTTGGACAACAACTGAAATCTACCTCTCCCGGGCGAAAGCTTCGGCTAGAATCCTTCGAGGAGTCCTTGCGCTACTTACATTCCCATGATCATGATGAAAGAACAACAGCCGAAGCCCTGGTCTTGGATACTATTGAAGAAGCCCGAGGACAAGAAATGATGGTGTCGATCAGTGTGGGGCTTGATGAGAAAATTGCTGATACAGACAGGGCCGACCCTCTTTTGACCCGGGCACGGATCTACCAAGGGATCACCAGAGCACAGCTCATGGCTATCGTCATAGACAGGATGGTAGAAGGAGGGTGGTTCCAATTTCTTGCTACTCTGAAGTTCAGTAACCAGGAGTTCATGGAAGAGTTGGCTTTTGGTGATTTCAGTCCAAAGGCTGCGAGCAGTATAGTGAAGACGCAAGAGGAGGCCTGAACGGCCAAAACGCTGGGTGATGGTGAATAGCAGCTGTGGCATTCTCCATTGTCAGTGTACTTTTGCGACGTTTGTGTCCACAGCTTCGACGGCGAAGAGATTGTATATACACTTTGGCCTAGGTTTTTTTGTTGATGTTTTGGGGTAGATCTATCTCAACCTCGTTCGGGGCGGAGGCTGGCGTAGAGGTCCATAAAATGTTTCGTTGAGTTGTTTGCCCTTCGATTGCTTGGAGGCCAGCCGCGACGAATCGCCCAAGAAAACAACCATGGTCAAGTTCAAGGACTGGGCAAGAGCAGTTGAAGGTAGTCGTAGTATGTAGTAACGTGTTTCCTTGTAGTGCTTTTGCTTGGTCAGTCTTTTTTCCATTTGGTCTCTTTCCATCAAAGCCAGCACTCCTGCAAAGCTGGCTCAGCCGTTGAGTTGGATCACCTTTGCACTTATATAGGGAGGCCTAATTCCCCCCAGGTTCTTTGAGAGACCTGGATCTCGTTTGTATCAAAGCAAAAACAAGGACATGAATCTGTCGCAAAGATCACGCAGGCAATGTAAAGCTTCCAGAGATAACATTCAACTCCTGTATCATCGTACGGATATTCAGCGTTTCATGTTTTGCGTCTTTTTCTCAGGTGACTTCGATAATATAATAGAATATTCCAAACACAGACTGCAAGAGGAGGGAGTGAGGATGTGCCGGACCTGGGAAGCAACATGGGCACCATCGACAATTACCCGCTAAACTCGTATTGCGTATATTATACATTTATATTTTGCCAAAGACCACGACAAGCACTCACTCAGGTCATAGCATACATGTAGTGATCATCAAAGATGACACGCACAAATCAAGAAGCTTGTATATACATGAGACCGCATTTTGCCCGAGCAAGAAAAGCTTCGCATGGTAGCGGAGCCTGAGAAGCCAATCGCGTAGGGATTGGTGGAGGCTCCTTAGTTTTGGCGCCATAGGCCCTTTGCCCCTTAGTGGACTACATCAAGCGGTCGAAAGAGGTCCTTGAGATCGAGGCCGGTGGCGCTTGGAGAAGCTGGAGCTTCACCCTCCTCGGTGGCGGCAGGAGGAGAAGGACAAGAGATAGCGAAGAGGATGATCCAAGCTGCTGAAGCAGCGGCCCTCGCTGCCCAGACGGCCGCAGAGGCCCTCAATCGACAAGCTAGCTCAATGGCGAGATTTTAGTTGGGGCCTTGAGCAATACCTGTCTTCCCTAAACGGCATCAGGGCAAGGCCAGATGATCCCATCGACCCGAGCATCCAGTCAGATGAGGAGAAACAGCGTAGCAAATTTTTGTACTCGTTGTTGGCCTCCCTGGTGAAGCAACGTCCCCTCGCCGTGATCCGCCAGGTGAAAGAATCCAACGGCATGGAAGCATACCGCCTCTTGGTCCAAAGCCTTGAGCCCACCTCCAAGAATCGTGCATTAGGTCTGCTGACCATGATCTTGGAGCGGAAGCCCTTAGAGATGAGGAAAGGCAGCATCCTCCTACGCCTGGAGGAGGCCTTTGTGGAATACGAGAAGACAGGTTCGAAGCTGGAGGATAACATCCGCTTCGCCGTCCTCATGAGGTGCATTGGTGGACAGCTTAAAACATGGCTCCAGCTGAACGTTGCCGAATCCCAGGACTACCAGAAGCTCCGAGAAGCCATCATCCAGTATGACAATGCTACGATGAAGTGGACAAATGTGATGATCTTGGAGCCGATCCCAACAACATGGATGGTGTGGTTCCTATGGAAGTTGACCTCATCAAAGGGAAAGGCAACGACTACATCAAGGGCAAGGGCAAGGCCAAGGACTTCGACAAGAAGGGCAAAGGCAAAGGTGACCCTAAGGGGAAGAGCAAGGGCAAGGGCTATGGAAAGTCCCAAGACGACTTTGGAGGCAAGTCCCAGCAGAAGGGCAACGGCAAGGATGAAGGCCAGAAAGGTCAGAAAGGCAAGTCTGACTAGAAGACCTGCTACACATGTGGTAAAGCAGGACACTTCTCCAAGGATTGTTGGCAACGCCTTCGACAAGTGAGTGAAGAAAGCCCCAGCCCGAAGCCGAGTGCAGAGACTGGGATGGTGGCGTCGAGCACTACCACATCAAGCCAGGGCACAAGCTGGAAGTCAGGGGCAGTGAAGAGAGTTGAAGAAGTTTCACCACATTTGAATTCAAGAATGAGCCCATGGTCTTTGACTTGAGGCCTATGTCAACACCAAGCGTGAGCGACAAGCAGATCAGGATGGTACAGTTTTTTCTCCATCTCTGAAGATGAGCCCAATGACGAGCACGACCACGTGGCCTACCACATCATGGCTGTGAGGAGGAACCAGAGCTGCGTGAGAGAAGAGGATCAAGTGAAGGTGATCATCGATTCAGGAGCTGACGCAACAATTCTGCCAAGCTCCTACTTAGCCATTGGCACGGAGTTGGATGAAGGTGCACCTAAGCTACAGGATGCTCAAGGAGTACCAATTGAGGTACGCGGCTACAAACAGGTTTGCTTCATCATCCAAACCGACAACAACAAGGAAGTGCAGATCTTTGACAAGGCCCACTTCTCAGATGAGATTAGCCAACCCATCATTTCGTATGGAAAGTTGATGGAAGCAGGTTGGAACATTGAGGCGGGGCAGCTGAATGGGAGCCAACATTCCATGACGTTCGGTCTAGGACACAATGTTGTGAGGATCCCACTTCAACTGCAAAACCGGAGTTTGGTGGCCACTGGACATCTCCGTACAGTGGTGGAAGAACCTGCAGATCCTATGATGGTGAGAGTCCTGGAGGCAAAGCTTTTGGACGACCTCCAGATGAAGGCACGATATCAGGTTGGCTGGAAGCAGGAAGAAAACAAATGGATTGGAGTGCATTTGGCCAAGAAGCTCCAGACACCACAGTTTGTGGGCGAGATTCCTTCGACGACGGATTGGAGGCGAACCACGCTGGTGAGAGTGAGAGACCAATGGCAGCTCTATGAGATGTGTGAGAACCTCCATGGACTGTTGGACCAGGAGGAGGAGATTGAGAATGTCGAGGACAACACGTTGATCCTGACCATCCTCACCCCGGAGGAGGTGAGCACTGAGGAGATGGGATTTGAAGTGGAGATTGGTCTTGATTTGAGGCCAAGAGTTGAACCAGGTGCCATGGCATTGAGGGAACATGAAATCCCTATGGAAGAGCCCCAGAGGCGTCAGGAGGCAGACGATGGTGCTGAGGCAGTTGTTGATGGTGGAGCGGCTGCTGGTCATGGAGGTGTTGATGAACAGGAAGGACGTTTGGTGTTGGAGGCTGGATTACCAGACCATGTGATTGTGAATGACAGCCACGAGCAAGCTCAGGGAACTTCGTGCAGCTTGTCACTTCTATGGCATCAGCCAATCCGGCAGTCGGCTGAAATGCTTTCAAAGAATTGTAAGCCATTTCAAAGAACGAGAGTTGAAGGCGGCTTCAGAGGCAGTGGCAGCTGCAGAGCTGCAGATGGCTAGACAACCCAAGATGCAGAACATCATCCCGGTTCCTTCACAGCAGGTGCAAGATCTTCATGCACTTACCCACGTACCATACCAACCATGGTGCGAAGTTTGCCTGAAATACCGAGGAAGGCCCGATCGACGCTTAAGGACTGGAGCTTCCCATACTGGGGGAAGTGGACAGAGCACCTATGGTCAGAGACCCAGGCCACGATCCTGATGATGGAGGAATGGTGATCGACCTGTAAGAGAGCCCAGGATCAGAGAGCTGAAGTCGTCTCTGTACCTGATCATCGTGTGCAGCCAAACAGGAAGCCTGGGAGCTGTTCCCAAAAGGACAGTTGAACCTCATGGCCAGGGAGATCATGAACTTTGTCCAAAGTTTGGGCGATGTGGAGATTGGTCTGTATGGGGACAGTGAACCCACAATTCGCTCCCTCCTGAGAATCCTGTTGAACAGCAGGCATGCTATGGGGCTTCGAACTCGCTTGTACACCACCAAGGTGAAAGACTCTGCAGGCAACTCCCTTGCCGAGAATGCCATCCAACGGGTACGCGGCCTTGCATGTACTTTGATGGGCGAGGTCATGGCAAAGACAGGTTTGGCCTTCAATACCAATCATGGATTGTGGAGTTGGGCGGCACGTCAGGCACGCTGGCTTTTGAACAAATTTCAAGCCATGAAGGGCGTCGCAAGCCACGAGCTGATTCACGGCAAGACCTACAATGGATCTTTGGTTCCTTTTGGATGCCCAGTGTATGCCTTTGTGAAACCCCAATCTGGCAAACGCAATCCTCGATGGCGCATGACCCTGTTTCTTGGCAAGACTGAAGGTCAAGACTCATGGATCGTTGGAGACGGCAGCCAGGTCATGTTGACAAGGTCTTGGTGCCTACTACCAGAACTTTGCCACCTTCACCTATGAGTATCAGATCAATTTCGGTGGACGCATTGTTCCAAGCAAGCGAGCAGCAAGTGCAGTTCCCTTGCAACTTGGTCCAGCACCTCCTCGAGATGAGATCCTGTTCAGGTATAGAGATGAAGAGGCCGAGGAGGTGGAGCGCTATGCATTGTCCAAAGAAGGCTTGGAAGAAAGTCGACGAGAGATTGATGAAGCCCGTGAACCCGATGGAGGAGCAATGATTGCAGAAGCTGGAGTGCCAGCACCATCAGCCCCACAAGGAGAAGAGCCCAGTGGAGGATTGCGAACACCCCCAGCTCTTGGAGATCAAACTGGGGAGAGGGGCGCAGGAGGAGAAGTTCCTATGATCATTGAACCGCTACCTTGGGATGAGGACGAACCACCTCCTGAAGGACAAGTTTTGAAGAAACTCCCGCCACCAGAGTCTGCAGTCAGGGTTGAACCAGAGGCAAAGCGGGCTAGGACAGAGAAGCCACCAGAAGGAGGAGCAAGCTGATCAGGACATCAACAGCTTGTGGAGCGCAGGGTCGAGAAAGTCTGCATTGGAGAGGACACCATGTACCACCTCGATGAGGTTGTGGATGTGGAGACAATGGCCATGGAGGAAGGTGAAGAAGATGTGGAGGACCTGAAGCCTGGTTCTATTCCTGAAGAGCTATGGAGTGATGCTCCTCTGACCAAAACTCCTCCAGATCCAGACTGGGAGATTGACCTCTTGGCAAATAAGGTGGAGGAGCAGAGGCTGATGAGGATGAATGTCATGGAGAAGCTCACTCCAGATGATGCTCACTTGGACAAGCTCACCACTCGCTTTGTCCACGACTGGAGGATAAAGCCCTATGTTCAGCCTGATGGGAAGACGAGGAAGCGCTGGCTGAGAAGTGCGAGGTTGGTAGCAAGAGAATATGCCAATGATCGATGTGATGAAGTATACAGCCCGGCTTCAGGACAGCATTCCCTTCGACTCCTTCCTGCATTGTTTCTGAACAACATAGTTGCAAGCCAGGGAATCTATGGAGAGCAAGGAGCGCCAGTACTTGGCGCACTGGACATCAAGGATGCATTCTTGCAAGTGCCACAGGAACGACCTCTCCAGATCACGACCAACACTGGCTACTACAAGGTCGTGAGAACATCCCAGGTCAAAGGATTGGAGCAAAAGCATGGTATGAGTTCCTCAGAACCTACCTCGAGAAGGAGCTCCACTTCATCTTCGATGTGGTGAACCCATGTCTTGGAAAGAAAGGCACTGACAACGAGCTGATCTGTGTGTTAGTGCACGTCGATGATGTGATGTTCACTGGAAGACAGAAGCCAGTCGAGGCCTTCGTGGGAAAGTTGAAGGAGAATTTTGAAGTAGAGGTATCCATGGTGAAGGACTACAACGACGAGTTTGCCTTCCTGAAGCGAAGGTTTACTTGTGAAGCCTGGACAATATGCCACAAAAATGATCAAGAACTTCGAGGACAAGTATGGGCCCGTGAGGAGACAAAGACTTCCTGCCACTTCAGACATCCAGGATGCAGATGGATCCAATGTGGTGGCCCCAGAAGTACCGCTCCATTGTCGGCATGGGCATCTACCTCTCACAGGAGAGACTGGACATCAGCTTTGCGGTGAAGGAGTTGGCAGGGAAAATGTCGAGTCCTACAGAGCTGGCTATGCAGAAGGCAAAGAGGCTAGTGGGGTACCTCAAGGAGACAGAAGAGCAGCACATTCTACTACCTCTTCCAGTTCAAGCAAGAGGTCTACATGGACACAGCCATGAACCCTGGTTGCTGGAGAGCTTCACTGATGCTGATTGGAGTGAAAACCGAGCTACAAGGAAGAGCGCTTCATCCTTAGTCCACGGCTTGAACGGCATGGTGATCTACACCACCTCCAGAGGCCAGAAGGTTGTGAGCCTCTCGTCAGCCGAAAGTGAACTTCATGCATTGGTGGCTGGCGCATGCGACGGCATATGCATCAAGCACGCCTTAGAGTTCCTCACCGGGGATCCAGTGCATCATGTTTGCTGGGTTGACAACTCCGCAACGAAGCAAATCGCCAACAAGCGTGGAGCTGGACGACTACGGCGCATCAGCGGAAAACTCCTCTGGTGCCAGAGCAAAGTTGCAGAAGGTACAATGGAGGTCAAACAGATCAGCACCATGTTGAACCTGGCCAACATCGGCGCAAAGCCCCTATCGAAGGCAAGACTCAGGCTGTTGCTCTACTGGTGCAATGCCAGAAATGGAGATGGAAGCCGTGTGGGTGAGCAGGAGCACCAGGACTTCGAGAAGAACCACATCGAAAAGGGGAAAATTATGAAAGTGGGAAAGTATCTCAACAGGATTGTTTTCTTGAGCGGTCTTGAGCTGGCCGCGGGCTCCAAGGTTGAGGAGAACTATGTTGAGATCAACTACATGCCTCCCTTCCAGTGGTTGCTTGTCCTGACCATCTTCGGCTTTCTGGTGTCTGCCATCGTGGTCCTATGGAGCAGGGTTCAAAGCTTGGAGAAACGGGTCGCCTTCCTACAGCATCGAGTTGAAAGAGGTGAACAAGTTCATCGAGAAGCCATTGAGCAGCAGGACAGGGAAAACTCCATGATTGCAGACTATGTGGAACGAGTACACCGAGGACTGCTCAAGTCTGGAGGGCATGTTGAGGACCCGTCAGTACAGCGAGTTGAATGGCGAAGCTTGGAATACATCCAGGAGATCAACAAGTGGCATGATGGCTTGAAGCTGAGAAAGAGGTGGAGGAAAATGGAGACGATCCAAGAAGAAAGAGGAGAACAACTTCCTGGAGCTGGCATAGTCAACATTGACATCGACCCTGGAGAACCCGGGTTGAGTGGGGAAACAGCTGTCATCATCTTGCACGGCGGCCGAATCGTGCAGGTTCCAGTGGAGTATGTTGAGCCGACAGCCGATGGAACAACAGGAGGCCAGACTGGTGACACACCAATGGTAGAGCCAGAGCCAACACCTGGAGAAGATGGGGTACCAGATCATGAGATGGAAAGTGAGCGCGAGAGCGCACCTGAGGTAGTGGATGCTGTCTGGGAACCAGAAGGCATCAAGATCCCAGACGCTCAGTATGCCCATTTCAACCGGGCATACAATCGAGCTGATTTGATTGCACGTGAAGAGCTTCTTAAGATGGAAGCCAACTGGTTCCACGGTCACAGGAATGGAAACAGAAGCCTGATGACCGAGATGAGTGATATAATGAAGGGGTCAGTGCATCATGTGCACAACTTCTACCCTTAGAAGATTTGTTGGCTTGGAATTCAAGCCTCACCAAGCCAAAGGAGGAGTGCCAAAGACCACGACGAGCACTCACTCAGGTCATAGCATACATGTAGTGACCATCAAAGATGACACGCACAAATCAAGAAGCTTGTACATGAGACCGCATTTTGCCCGAGCAAGAAAAGCTTCGCATATTTGCATACTGGTAATTTTGTTGGCTAGTGTTGACAGTTCTATACTATTTTGTGGTCTCAACCGACAAGACTAGGAAGCTGCTGTTCAATCTTCGATCAGACGCTCCCCCAGGCTTCAAAAAGCACGACACCAATTCTAGCAGTAGCAACATTGTCTTATCAAACAAACTGTGCTACCTACACTGTGCTGCCTGCCCAAGACAGCTTCCTTCACTGACAGGTACGTAGTTGTTTCTCCTGTCTCCTCCAATCGTCTTCTGGTTTCCTTCGTTGGTTTGTTGATCCCCTGGTTCGACCCGACAGTGAAATCACCAATGTTCATGATTTGAAAACCCTTGAGTCAAACAAAATAAATACAGCCAAACATAAAGCATATCCGCATATCCGCCAGAGGTCCACATGGTCGTAGGTTGTGTCATTGCTTTTGGCGGTTTTTTATTTTTTTTTTGGGAATTTGGGACTTCTTTGCTTCTATTTGTTGGCCGTTTCCTGATGTTTTTTGTTTTGTTTAAATGTTTTGTTTAGTTAGGGATTCGGATACGTCTGATTTGGATTCCTTATAATTCTTGTTATTCTGCTTGGCCGCTTTTGCTTCTTTGTTTTTCCGCTTTCTGCTTGTCTCTTTCCTTTTCTGCATGTTTGCTGTTCTGCCTCTCTACTTTTGTTTTTCTTGCTGACTTCTGATTCATACAGGGCTTCTTTGTTTTTGGCCTTTTGTATTTATTTTTTGTGTGCGTTGTGTTTTAGTCTTATTGTTGGTCATTGGTATCTCGCTTGATGGACAGAACCATTCCAACGCAGCACACCTTCTGTGGGCCAGCCAAAGGCAATAAAATTTAGAGCAGGAAGGGTCAATTAGATATTGGAGCACACCTGTGGGCAACCCAAGGGTGAAACTTATAGCAGGAAGGAACAATTTCAATTGGAGCACACCTTCTATGGTCCACCACAGTTTTAAATTTAGCTGAAGATCTGAGGCTGCAGAGCAAAGGATTGGTGAGAGTATCTGCTGAAGATCTGAGGCTGCATAGGAAAAGGATGGCTGAAAATACTTACTGTAACTTGTAAAGAACCTGAGAAATAAACATAAATACTACAATCATGTTCGAAAGGAATTCTCCCAGGAACCCAGCTTTGTTTTGGTGGTAGTTTGTGATAGAGGCTCTCCAAGTTCCAAGGTCCATTTTACATTAGGTGTGGATGTGTTTTGGTGTGCCTGTATTGTATCAGCTCTTAGGTGATCTGTTTGGATCTGGGCCTGCGGTTTTGCACCGCCAGGAAGCTGAACAAGAACTTGAGACATCGGTTTGGGATGTGGACAGCAATGAGACTGAGATCAAGTCACAGACTCAAAATCTTCAATTCGACCCCCGCATGTTATTGCAGGTGCGGTTTTGGTCGAAGCATGCTATTTCGTTTGGAAAGGCAGAGGAGAGCTGCTGTCGCTTGCGTTTTTCAATAGAATCTGGAACTTCCGGAACTCTAGTTTCTTGATATTGAAACATGAAGAAACTATCTCGGGTGACTTGACGTGTGCTTGTGTGTTTGGCCCTCTAAGGGTCACCAAACGATGAATTTGTTTGTCCCAATACACGATGCACAGTTTCAAACGTAGAAACGACCCATGGCCCATGACAGTACTTTGCCAGAGTAGCTGAGAGGTTAGGAATTTAGTGCGACCAAGCACATCAGGAAAGGGCTCAAATGATTTTTGCGGTTTGAACCTCCTCAACTTGATGAAGTATGGTGTGCTTTAGACTCACCCTGTGAGAGTGTGGAACACTATTTCATATTCACAGCACTATTGCACTCTCTGCAAAATCATGGAAGTGGATGGCAGGGCCTCTTGGATGAGCATTTTCCTCTACAAACAGGTGGGTTTCCACTTCCATGATCATTCACGGTAGCGTTTGTTCAGGAGTTTAGGCCCAGTTCTTCACATACCTTCCTGCAGAGATCCCCAAGGGAAAAGTTTTCCTGCCTTTATTGTCCGGATCTGGAGCTTTAGAGCTTCCTGGGATGCAAAAAACATGGTCAACAAGTGGGTTCATCATGATTTCATCCTGGTTTCCGCACCTTTTCCCTCCAACACAAATGCGTACAACGTGGCAGGGGGGCGAGTTCATCATCGTGATTGTGGGCGGCCCCAGTGCATTCGGGGTCGAGATGGGGCCACTCGTGAAATCAAGGAAGTTTGGAGAGTGACCCAAAAGGCACAGAAACTGTGCCATCTAATTCCTGGATCTTCCAAGAATGTAAGAAAGAACCTCTGCCTGTTCATCCAACAAATCCACAAGGTTGGCAGAACTTGTTTTACAGTTGGAAGATCCAGGTTGCGAGTTTGCCAAGTGTAGGTGTAGCTCAAAGAGTCCCGGCTGATGCCTTTCAACTTGGGTTCCCCGAACGGAGAACAGCAGAAATTCCTCTCGATCAACGTGATCGCAAGGATCGATCGATGACGAGCTGAAGCCAAGATCATGATCTCATTGAATATAGTTGTTGAGTTTCGGGAGTTTGCCATGCCATGGATATTTCCGGCGCATCGAAGATCTATACTCCTCCCCCCCCTTTAGAAAGGAACAGGAAGGCTTTGGGTGAAGCATGGTCCGCTTTCGGCTTGCCCTGAAAACATCCTTCGGCTTCCGTCACGTCACGGACCTCGACGTGGATGTGCGGGACCCGAAATTGGCAGGACAAGACCAATGGAGAGCGTTTTGGGCTTGATGTCGACCATGAGGAGCACGTAAAAGAGCGCCTTTTGGCCGGCGGTGGGCGGGATTCTCGAAGAATGCCACCGACCAACTTCTTCACTTCTTCCAAGTGACCTGTTTAAGACCTTTTACTGGCCTAAGCGCCCGCAAATGTCCTCAAACCAGGTCAAAGGATGGTATGAGCGTCTCCACTTCTCGCACCAAAAAGCAGCTGGTGCTTCATCGATCATTCAGTGAACAAGCTCCCTTGGAAGCCGTATACAGCTAGTAATTAGAAGTGGACAACCCAAGACAACCTTCTCTTGGTCGAGGCACATCCTCCTTTCGCGGCCAGGTGCTGCCCTTCCAGCGCATTCCACATGAAATGCAGTAGGAGGTCCAGTGAAGAAGACCTTTTCGCAGCTATCCAGAGTCACCCGAAGCTTCACGGAATGACTGTACGTGGTTACACAAGTGCTCCGCTGGAAAGGCTTCAGGTGCATGAAAGTCCTGCGACAGATGAATGTTGATGAATGTGGATCAATGTCATTCTCATAGGCTCCAAAAAGCCATCTCATCACATATATACCCATATTCAACTGCTCTTTGCGCCCAGCCCACAACAAAAAGACACAGCCACACCCGGAACTCGGGGTGAATTCTGTGGAAGCGACCAACTGCGCCCTCCACCCGGAACGTCCGGCCTTTTCAACGAAGCTTAGCTGCGGAAAGGACGGCCGGACTCTGGCGGTGGATGCCATCACGGGCGGATTGATCCAGAAGTGGAACGAGGAACACCCGGACAAGGCGTGGGCGGCGCCTTTTTTGGGGTGGGGTTTGTGAAACAGCGCGTTGTTTGTTGTACATTGTTTTTTTGTTTTCAGTGGAAGAGGACCATGAACATGAAGAGGCAAGATATTTATAACAAATATCACGGACCATGGTGGGGATGGTCAAACATCTCCAGGCCTGCTTCTTATTCGTAACAATGTGTTCGATCAATCACTCAACATGATCCATCACTATCATTCACTCCAAGTCTTCTGACTTTGACTCTTCGTCCAGCGGTTTGGTGTCGTTTGTCAGAGGCAGGTTCCCACGGTTCCCAGGTCTGGTGACCGGTGGCCTCTTTGGCGACTCCATTTGGCTGGATAACCCCACGAGGTTCTAATCTGTTCCAGTTGGGAAACATTTCCATCCAGACACAGACGCACGTGCAAGATATTGCTAGCACGCAATTTTGTGTCAAGGTTCGCGTGAATAGAGGTAGGGCGTGATAGATTGTGCTGGCGGTGCAGAGGCTTCAAGCGCTAACTGATTGGTGCACCTTGCACGCCACATGTGCGTGCTTCAATTTTGAGGAAGAATATCCGAAAAGTTTTTCTGTTGAAAAAGCTTCATGTGACGTATAGGCTTGACTATAAGGTTGAGAATAGATATCACATTAAGTCCTTCCTCCCTAGCCCTTTTTTGTAATATCATAACTGGTGCAACCAAACCGTCGCCGCCGAACGTATTCCTCGCGTTGTTCCTCGCGTTGTCTCTTGGAGGCTGTGAGGCCGAAGGATCGGATCGTCGAAGTGAATGGCTTGCGCGGCGATGTGCTAGAGCTGGTGGACGAGATGAAGAAACCCAAGGCGGCAGCGCCGTTATTTTGGCGTGGCATGTTGAGAGCTGTCCAGAGTTCTCGTGATGAATTGTTTTTATGTTCTGTCTATGTGGAGTATCGTGGTGAATGCTGTTTTCTTGCAGCTATCGTTTTGTTAACAGTTTGTCTGGTGGACAATGAGGCAGTTGTTCCATCAACGATGGAAGGAAGCTATGAAGTTCGACATAACCACAATATGACACGAACAGACCAGGGCCTCCAGGGCTTTGGGTCCTGACAGGAGTCCCCATGGATGAACGTTGTCTCTCCAAGCACCTTTAAGACTTAAGGCCGCCAACGGGCCCAAACTGACACACCCATCCGCATGAAGACTTTTGATGATAGAACCCCTTCTCTCCAGAATTTGTTTTACATCTCCAGGCCTGCAGGGGTTTCATGAATCTTGATGAACAATGCCCTCCCATGTTGGCTTGTAAGACCTTTTCAGTACAGGGGGTTTTATGAATCAGTCTACATATGTTTATATACATTATCATCAACAGTCTGCATGATGTGGCACTGTTTCATTCCTCCTCAGCTCTTCTGAGGTTTTGCAGCTTGATCACCCCAGCCACCAGCAGGAAGACATAGGAAGACACGTTTGAACCGTTGAAATCCGTTGGAATATGTTGGTCATGACCGGGTCGTTGGCACAACTTGGTACAACTGGGGTGTAGTTGGGGGTGTACAACAACGGAACGGTACAGCAACCGGGACATTGGTCCCGGGTCGCTTCGAAGAGGTGCTGAAGATCCATGTGAAGAGGGAGTGAGGCTCATTGAGTCGAAAGATGTCACCGGTCTGCCGCGATATGCGACTGCTCCGTCGCCTGCTTTGTTGTCGAAAGCAAAGGTTTTGACTGCATTGGTTTTGGATTGATTTTGGTCTGGTGGCACATGTATAAGGTCTGTCGGTTTGGTGCTCTGGTGCATTGTGTTCGATGTTTGTGTTGATTTTCCTTCAAGGGATTGGTTCGTTTTTAAGTGATTGCGACTGGGTCAATTAGTGGGACTTGTTGAGTCTTGGGGTCGTCAGATGGATGCCACACACACACACACACGTCACCATTAACATGATATAGTTATATACTTTTTGGCTACTTGGTGATGGCCATGGGGATACTCATTAAACCTATGTCGCATGGTGTCATGGTGGCATGGTTGCTCTAAATCCATAGCCTTTGGAGATACATTCAGATCAAAATTAATTTGCATCTTGGAACTTGAAGCATACAAAATTGGACCATTCCTTTTTTTCAGCGATGCATTTTCACCAAACCTTAGTTTCAAGTGACTGGCGGCAGCATGGTCTACCACCAGGCATTGGTGCTGTCAAGAGCTAGTTTTGGAGCAGAAAAACCAAAGGTGTGACGATCTCAAACTTTTCTAAAGCCCAGTAGACGCCTACGAAATTATATAAGTAAGGGCAGGATAGCTTACTAAGTAACCTGTAGGCCACTACCTACTGGACGCAGGATAGCTCAAGCTTCTTCAAGGAAGCTCCCCCGCCTGAGGGGGGGAGCTTCCTTGAAGAAGTGCTCGAACTAATCACGAGTCATTTGGTTCCTGGTTTTCCAAATCAGAGGCTGCTTTCCAGCAGTAGCCGCAGCCAGCAGCAGCGCATTCAATGCCTCCACGTCACTCTCACACAGTGTAACTGCATCAATGTCCCTCAAATGTTCCCTATCTCCATCTATCTCCTGATTTGATAGAGGGCACTTCATCGGTGATCGTTGTTGTCTCAGTGTCGAACATTTAAAATCACCTTATGCGGATGATATTAGACTTGTATCGTACACGGTGTTGATATCGTGGGGAAGAAGCGCATTCACCGCGTGACCGAGGTAGCCCCATTTGCATCATTCACTGAGCGCATGGCATTTTGGCAAAACCTACTCGAAGCAGCATTAGCCATACATCGTTTTTGTTGATGGCAGCTGGGGTAGTGATGATATTCCAAGCAATTCCACGTTCCCGCTTTGACTCACTTGAGAACTGCGCTCATAAATGATGAAAAAAGTCATGATGGTGATGATGATGGTGATGATGATGATGATGGGTACAGTAATGACTTAATGATGGGTATGTTTGATCGTCTAATATCGTGTACTTGCACTGATAGCCACTACACAATGGTGCTGCTGGAGCCTCCCGGAGACTTCTTTCTTTTGTGTGAAGTAGATGTGACAAATCCGAGCAATTAATTGATTCATCAATGAATACCACTCTCTCGTTCCACACGTTACACCACTCGATGAGGAGCTAGGAATGGTTCAGAACCATGAACCCACGATTGAGCCTGCCCCTTGAGGAGTTCTTGACCATGATGCGTGCCACTGGCGAGAAGTCCTAATGGTGACGAACATGCCAGGCAGTGATGAAGCCTGGACCAGAGACTGAAGACAGTTTCTCTCCGGCTATCGCCTGAAACAATGACGACAAAAGTAAAGCCTTGGAGGCGTTATCCTCATCTTGACCACGGTCAATGATCACTGACGATGTGTACATATTCATCATATTCAGAGTTGGATCAGTTTCACTCGCGGACTCAAAAATCGGGTCCGATAAGCATTGACATAAAAAGGATTCCACTGCCGACATCAACTGGATGCTCGAGGGCTGTAGGCTTTTGACTTCCTGAAAAACGCCTATGTAATAAGAACGATGCGAGGAGGTGGAATGAGAAAAGGTGAACTGAAAGTAGATGGCGAATCCATTCCGTGTATAGTTATTTGCTGTGATCTATTTGGAGGCTATGTTGACAAAGGTCCCAGATCCAACTGAGTTGGCCTATGTTAGTTTTAACTGATGTGCAACTGTAACTATAGCTGTGGCATTGGCCCATTCTACCATTGTTTGTTGTCTTTTTCTATGTTCTTGGCTCCCGCTCAGGTGGTAGCCAGTGGTTTTATGGTGGCTTGCGCCCCGTGACTGGCCACAGATGGCTGTGCTACCAGGTGAGATCGCTGCGTCACTAATATGTTGGGTGTGTTCTTCGTGGTGGGTCAGAAAAAGCTGAAAGGTCGCTCTGTTTAGCGTGGTGCCTCTGTTTGCTGTAGCTGTAGCTCAAGTTCAGCTTGAAACTTGCGCTTCAAGATTCATTAAGCGGATGTATTGCCACTTGGCTCGGAGGTCCCAGATGTCGCTTGGTCCATGGCGCAGCTGGGGCAGCTGGCGTAGCGTTTGGCATAGCGTTGGAAGCTGAGTTGGGGAGCCTTTGAGTTTCAGCAAGGGCTCATTCAGGCTCTTGGTGAGGGTCTTATCAGTTACTATTACTTACTTTAAACGGTTGCTTAAAGCAACAACTGGGCTTTCGATGCAAGCGGGATACCTTGATAGCTTCACCAGCGATGATGTGAAATTGCTGATCTAAGTTATTAACGATGAGGATAGGCCACAGGAGATATGACCACATCAACAAAGCTCCTCAAGCCGAGTCAATTGCAAGCTCTTGCAAAGGGCGTGCATTGCAAGACACAAAGACGCAGGTTGTCAGGTTCTACGTTCCCAACAGGCCATACAGCAAGCAAATGCAAGCGGCATGGCATTCCGTCACATGAGTTGGGAGCCTTTCCTTCACTCACAGATCTCACAGCTCACGAGTCCCCATCCCCACAAGTGCCATTGAGCGCTCAACTGTGCTCTACTCAGCAATTGAAATGAAGAGCCTTTTAGCAAACAGAGGTGACTCATGTTGCTTTATTGGGCATGGCCAGGCCCTCGTCAGGTCAAGGGTTCCCAAGACCTACGGCAAAGATAGCTCCTGAGTCCTGCATCAAGTATTGGGTTCACAGCATCCATGCATGTGATTGATAAGTCATGGCTGGATGTGATCCATGTATTTTTGAAGTTGTAACTGGATGCAACTGTGACTTCGGTTGGCAGTCCATTCCTCACATTGCGCGTCTCATGTTTCGGACATGGATTCCTCGGATCCTTCAGAGTTGATCCACTGATTCTTGGTGTGCGGTGATGTGAGGTGTATTGAAGTAGGGTCAGGGTGGCCTCAAACCGAAACCCCCTGGAAGAGGATAAAGATACTAAAGATTGAGCCAGCTGGGTCTGCCTATGGGAGCTATAAACCCAAATCAGATGTTTTGAGGCTTTGAGGCGATGGTTTGCATCCCAGCGCAGAAGTTCTCGGCACTGCATGTTCCCGGACACATACATTGAACCAACCTTCCAGGCAGCCAACCCAATGATCCGTCCTTTGTCCAGTGACATGGATCTCAACTCCACTTCAAGCCATGCTCAGCTTTCAGATGCTCGCGTATGACGCGCAAATTCTAGGTCCCATCTAGCAACGCCAATCAGCATCAACCAGATGTTAAGAAAACACCGTTGGAGTGCGATGTGGGATGTTCAAGTCCAAGTCAACATCGTTTGGATTTAGAGACATGAGTTGCCCAATCGAATGGTAGAGCTGGACGACCACAAAGCTCTCCAAAGAGCGGCGTGAAAGAGGCGCCAAAGCGACGATTCCCCAGCTCGTGCCACGCTGAGTTGGGCAGTGCCTTCGCCAGTCACATGGCACCTGCAGCCAGTCACCAAGATCAAGAGTCAGAACGATCCAATGATTCCTGCAACCGTCAAGTGGCATACATGCTGGATCAGGGGGTGGAAAGGGGGCCATGAAGACATAGCATGTGCAGTTTGTGCAAATGAACCGGGTAAAGCCAAGACTTTAGACCTTGACTAAGAACAGCTTAACAGATATGGCATGGCTAGGAAAGCACACAGGCACATACCTTGTCAAGAATGTGTGAAGTGTTGACACAGCGGTTAGTGGCGGCTTTTGTTGCAAAACCATGATGTTGCCATGTGTGTCTACAGCCATTTTGGCTTACTATGCAATATTGTTTGGATCATCCGAACTTGAAGGGAGGTTTTTCTCCAGCATGGCAAGTCGCAGGCTGTCGCAGGAACTGCAGTACCTTCTTTCCATCCAAGGTGTTTCACTACTGTAGGTACCTTGGACGGCCATCCGCCCAAGATCGACGTAGGCTGTCCAATGAGACCCTGCGCCGACCCGTCCTATGCCTGATGACTTAACCTTGGCCTGGCAGCGCCTACGCTCTTCGCGGGAGTGGGGTGCTGAGCGAACAAGGAGGAGATGTCCAAGTTTTTGAAGTGGATGTTGATTCGCATGGATGCCCATCTTGTTTTGTTTCTTTGTGTGTATGTGTGTGTGTGTGTTTGTACTGGAAGATACTGGAAGTGCAATATTTGGGATGGAAACATTTTTTGGCTTTGACCTGCAAGAACTTGACAGCTCTTCATTTCATAGTGGCTTGTGATTCCAATATCTGAGGACGCCAACGTCCGGACTGCACACGACCCTTAACTTGGCTCAGCAGACAGCTTAGCTGCAGCAACACGAGGATACTGACAAAGCGTCAACTTGCAAGGGAACCTGTACAAACATAACAGGTTATGCCCTTCCCTTCCTCTTGGAAGATCGAATCAACTTGACACGCCCATCACCCATCCCAAGCCATCGCTTCAAAGCGCTTAAAAGGTCTCCCGGAACGTCGAACTCGGCCCAGGTCCTCGCGCTCCCCCCGGAGGCTCCGGCCAACGGCTCCTCCCGAGCCGGCCGCGGACCTGGGAGACCCACGACCGCGGTTTCCATCGAGCTTGGCTCACTTGCCGTTCGGCAGCAAGTCATGCTTGCCTCAGGGGTCGGTCCTTATGAATCATTAATAATAATAATAGTAATCATATAATATATATATATATATATATAAGTACATAGTTCGTTCCTCAGCAGGCGGAGGAGGACCTCTCAGCTTCCATGCTGGTGAGAGGGAGAAGTGAATTGGTGTTGAGAATTCCCACAGCGAAACATTGTCGCATCTCACACTGTGACGGGACACTCTCGTACTTTACGTCTCAAGAGTCGCATTTAAGATGTTCCTGCCCACCAGCAAGAAGGTTCCCATGATTTCCCATGCATCCCAGGAGAGTGGATTTGGGGCCGCCGCGCCCTACAGCCCAAACAGTCACATCAACGTCGCAGAATGTTGGCAGCCCAGGGTGGTCCAAGTGGCTTTCTTGAAAAAGGGTTACCGGTTGGTTTGCTGTTGCACAACATGAACACCTTAATTAGAACTGAGGAAGTGGTCTCGAGTCTCGAGATGAACCATAATCAGTCGAAACCACAAAAAGACAATTCGCAATTTCTAGAACTCTGAGAATATATTTTTACCCAGTAAAAACGCCTCATGGACTATCGCCGCCCTTTTAAGTGCCGGATATCAGAGAACCTACGAACCTGTAACGTACATGGTATGACAATGCAATCTACTCAAAGATATTCAACTCTGCGAGCGGAATCCCTTACGCAAAAAACATCAAACAGGTGAGGCACATGTTCATTTGGAATTGAAATCTATTTCGAATCTTATAATCATGTTCTCTCGTTTGAATGAGCCGAGTGGACTCCCTTGAGAGGTCAGATGCGTGGATACTTCTCTACATGCAGAAGAACGAAGAATCATGTGAAGTTTAGCATCGAAATGTTAAGATACATCCCATGGCCTAAATAATATTGGGGATGTTGTCATTCTGATATGATTTGATCGAAGACAACTGAAGTGCCTCGGCCAGTTTCTTTGTCGAAGGTTGAAGATCAGATGCTTGCAACCATAAAGGCCCATGTCAATGGTTGTGCTTGGCTTCGGGCTCCTTTTGAAGGGAGTAGATTATTTTACATCACTTGATTCTGGAGACATTACTCACAAAAGGGAAGTGCTCCTTTAATCCTACCAGTTGGTTGTAGCTTGTGCTTTCCTGTGAATTTCGCATATGAGTTCAGCCGCTGATCCTGGAGAAAAGCTCAAGTTTGAATCAGGTCAGATTTGGTATGAAAGGTGTGGCTGTGGAAGGTACAAAGTGTTGTTGGGAACACACATGGATGCACAATGGACAGGAGCGCTTGGCCGCTGTCAAAGCAAAAGAAAAGTCTTTGGAGGCCGGGTCTCGGGTCTCAGATCGACACAGATCAAGTCTCGAAGGAGTCACGGAGTCGCCTACAGCGTGAGCATCACTCTGTGCGATCGGAACCGTGTGCTAGGACCAATTTGACACTTTGTGCACCACCCATGCGAACTTGCAGCGAGCGCTCCAAGAGGCCTGGTTCCTCACTGTCGGTAGTGGCCTTGAATCATAAACTGATGACTTTGAATGCCCTTTTGAGTATGTTGTCCACATGGACTGTGAAACTGTCCTTGTGACCTTGTGATGCTGCAGGCGTGTTTGTAGATGCAGATATGGAGGATTTTCTCCGGAGTTGCAAAATGCAAATAAAGGGCCTTTGTAGATTCTTGCGACAAGTTTACAGTTGAAATGAACTCGAAGTTCAAATCTTTAGGACGGGTCTTTTGATGCAGTCCCTTGCTTTTTGCAAGGGCTATACGAAGAAACCACACTTTAGACATCCGTTCGGTTCGCGAAAGGCACAAGATCACGAGCCACAGAACGATTTGAAAGGCGGAGAAGAGAAGGCGCCTGAGTGTGTCGGATGAAGCCGCTACAGTACTTTGTCGTTCTGCGTTGTTGTAGTTGGTTCAAGTGAAGTGTCACTTTGCGTCACTTGGCATTCGACTATCGCAACATATCGCAACTATCGTCCTTCCTGCAACGACGATCCACAGGCAACTACTTGTACCTGAGAGAGGACAAACTGTGCATTGTAAACAGGAGTTACTTGTTCCATTTTGTTACGGTTGAGGCTCTTTTGCGTTGAGCTGCATTGATACCATACCTATAACCTCTTCTTGGGCAGAAATTTCTGCCTATTATGGGTAAAGGCTGCTTAAGCGTTCTTGCCCCCCGTAGGCGTTCTTGCCCCCTTTGGGCGTTCTTGTCCTTTTGGTGAGGATCCACCCACCACTGATTCCAGGAACTTTCATAGTGAGGTACATTTGTTTGTCAGGAATTCACTTAACGTTTCTTTTGTGATCTCTTTTGTATGTTTTTAGTTTTTCTATGCTTTGAATCATTGCTTTAATATCTTTTTGCCTAGGTGTTCTTCCTGTCACTTAGGCGTTCTTACCCGTTACTTGGGCGTTCTTGCCCGTTACTTTGGCGTTCTTTCCCGTTCCCCACTCACTACAATCAGTAGTTGGGCGGACAACGGAATGGTAGCCTTTTGGGGGGAGTGAGCGACATGAGTTTCAATAACTTTAGACTGGGGATTAGCGTCAAGTGGCAGGCGTTTGTTTTCTCAATTTTCGTCATTCAAATTCTGGCTTTGCCTCCTGCATGTAAGAATGCATGTGATTGTGCCTCGGCGTTTTTGACCCTCGAAGCTGCAGCTTAGGCGTTCTTTGCAAAAACGGGCTGAATTTTCTGCCTAAATGGCGTTGGGCGGAAATTCTTGCCTAACGAGGTTCTAGGTATGAGAAGAAATAATATATAGTACTACCGAGTCACTATGGTCTGCAAAGGGAAATTGGCCTTCCTGATGAGTCAATCATTCTTGCCTTCCTTCCGTACATGTTGGTACACTTAGCTCTATTAGAGCTGCACCAAAGAACTGATGCATGAAAAAAATAAATAAACACACTTTGTCCAGTGGATTGGTTTTGGTTCTGGCTCCATGTTTCACTTGACTGTGACTTGAATGTTTAGAGACATGGTACAACTAACTAGTATAGAGCATTCCTCTTGCTCGCCTGAATCTTTCTCTCTGACGGGAAGATATAGAGCCGTTATTGTGTTGCTTCGTTCTGGTTGTGTCTCGTTGGAACAAGCGTTCCTTGCTGTCTATTGATTCAGGTGGAAAATGAGATGCTCAAGAAAGAGCGGCAACAGGCCGTGCCAGTGTTGCTTAGCATGTGACCGCCCGAGTATGGTGTCCAAACGATTGGTGATGACCACTTCAAGTTCAGATGAAGCGGTGTGAACTCCTACACGTTCTCTTAATCTATTTGAGAGCACTAGTTTTGAGGATGTTTCAAGTGTTTTGCATGTGCTGCCAGCAGAGGCTGACGAAGAGGCAGCATCAGCTTCCGCCGTGCAGGCACTTTTCTGTGGTCCAGTGCTGCTACATGCAACAGCAAGAGATCAAATCGTGCAGATGCTCCGGATAAGCTACTGGTGATTAGTGTTGCTTTTGTGCATCTAGTTTGCCCTCGTGGCAGCGTTTCTCTCGGACGTGCACTCTCCACATCGCATCCATGTGCTTTTTTGGGATTCACGGGCAATTACACACAATAGAGACGCAACTTTGACAGCGTGTGTTTCAGGCTGGAGCAATCGTTGTAGACACCATTGCGATGACATGTGAAACGTTTCACGCAAAAGACACTTAATTAGTTCTGTGGTTTCCTTGTATATATAGAGAGACTGTGTGCTTCATTGTGGTTGTTTTCGATTGGAAGACAACACATTTGATTTCGTCTGGATAGATCCACTTTGCCAATTGTTTTTAGTACCAAGTCCTTTTAAACTTTAGATGAACCCCTATGCACTCCTACACGTTCTCCTCAAGTGTTTGATGCTGCTTTGTGAGACAGTTTCATGTGTTGTGCATGCGCTGCCAGCGGAGGCTGAAGA